CATGAAACCTGGCAAAGGCCTCAAGTTTCTTGGGAAACTGCAGGGACAAAATCGTGAACAGAGGGAACTGCGGCATTCTCTTCCCACGAACCAGCTATTTATCTGATCCAGGTATCGGGTCTATGTGTGTGCAGGTGGGTGTGCACATGTGTGTCTGTGTGTATGTGTGCAAGCATGTGTGCACACATGCATAGAGATACACATGTAAGTGTGTGTATATGTGTTTTTATGCATGTATGGTTTTTACAAGCCCCTGCACATGAATGCAGCTCCAGCATTTGCTTCTGAAACGTTAGATGAGCAGTGAGGGGCCTGGCTGACTCAGCCATGACACTATGTTGATTGCTAGGTCTTACTTTATTTTCATGTAGGTGTGCAAGGCCCCAAGTATGTGTGAGTGTGCATGTCTGTGTTAGTTCACCCACATGTGCACAAGGAAGAGCCCCTAGCAAACCTGGGGTGCCTGCCTTCGCAGCCCCCTCTGAAGCCTAGCTTACACTCCCTGCTCTGGGATCACGACCCTGAGTGCTTCACAGGATAAAATGGGAATAAGATGGAGCCTCTTATGATTGTCATGAGTGCCAGTGAGGTGATGTGTCTTTCATTCACCCGCCATCCTCTGAGTGCCTCCTGTGTGTCAGGCTTCATGCCTGGTTCTAGGTGAGCCCCACTTGAGAGGTTCTTGGTTCTGATGGCAGAAGGTGCAGGTCAACCAGGACAGGCAGGCGTCTCCAGTGAGGGAGGGACAGTGAGGGACTGAGTTTGGGAACAGCACCCTGATTCCATGTCCGTCTGCACCACCAGGCAGCTCTTTCCAAAACTAACTCAGCTCCCAACCTCAGTCCCTCAATGTCCCTCACTGTACACGTGCCTGAAGTCAGAGGCTTGGCTCAGAGCCACTCAGCTAGTGAACATCAGGGCTGCCATTGGTTTTCATCTGTGGTTCTAGAACCTTCCAAACCTCAAGAGCAGGTGTGTGTGTGGATGTGTGGTCACCGCCGCTGAACCACCTGCTCCCGTCCCCTACAGGCTTTGTCACTGTCTGTGCTCAAAGCGTGGGGTGTCCTGAACAAGTGTGTGAGCTACGGCAGGATAGCGGCCGACCCCGACGTATACTCTCTGTCCCACCAGCAGATCCACCAGGTCCAGGCCAGCATGGCCAACGCTGAAACACCGGCACCCGCATCCATCCACAGCGGCTGTCTGTCTGTGGCAGACACCCCGGGGCCTGGCCAGGCCTTTTCAGGGCTGGTCTTGCCACAGAAATACCACTCAGGGTCCTCAAATTGGCAGCCTGGCTTTGGGCAGAGGTTGTGGGGAGCACTGGCTGTGGGGTGGAGGACATGGCACAGATTGGACTGTTTGAGTGCTGACTCGGCCACGTGACTGCTGGGTGGCCCAACACAGTGGCTTTCCATCTCTGAGCCTCAGTTTACCCTCCCCCTTTCTGGAGTCATTGTGATTCCAGTTGGTGGGCTGGAAGGCAGCCTGTGCAGTGCCCAGTACACAGTGGGTCTCCTTAAGTGACAGCCATTATTGGGGGTAAGGTGACCATGCTTGGGGTCTGTTGCGGAGGACCACGTTGATGCCTATTGTCCAACCAAGTTACTAATATTGCCCCCTTTTCTCCCAGCACTGTCCAGGTTTGGAAGATAAATGCTATGGAGAGTCTGGTTTGGGGGCCCAGACCTCAGATCTGACAGCCTGTGGTCAGAGCAGGACGCTCAGTGCAGGCCGGCACGGGGCCCCTGGGAAACTGTGCCATCAGCTCCCTCTGCCCCCCTTCTGCCCATGAGAATGCACATGAACTGGGCTTGGCGGGCATGCTTGCATCCTGTCTGCGTTTTTGGGTTTACTGGAAGGATCAGATCTCGACTGGGGAAGGACGTGGAGATCTGTATGTTCAGAACCTTCCTGTGAAGAGATTCCCCTCTCCCAAGGCCACCACTGGGGCTCTTGATCGCCATCATGAGCTGGTCAAGTGAGTTAGCAGGCAGAGCCCAGGTGTCCCGGGGGCAGCGGCTGGGAGAGAGGGGCCTTCCTCTGCAACTGCCGCCCCCCTGCTCCGTCCTGGGGGAGCCGAGAGAGGGTGGAGCTTCCCTAAAGTCCTCAGTCTGGTGGTTGAGGGGGCCATGGCTGGGGGAGGCACCTGCTGTCATTGTCAGATAGACTCAGGAGACGTGTCCAGGAATCACAAACACATCTGTCATGTTTCACAGTTCAAGGAAAAAATGTGCCCAGCATAAAAGTAAGCCCTTGGCAGAGGGGGCTGTGTGAGTGAACGTGCAGATGAACAGACACAGTCCCCCTGCCCTGGCCCATTTGTTACCGTTTCCCTGCCCCTCAGGCACCAGGCCATGCTCTGCCGAACTAGGGGTAGGCTGCGTGACTGGGGGCCCGCCACGTGGTAGTTCAGCCTCTGTGACAGGCCTCACCCACAGGGTCCTACAGGGCGTGCGGCACTGGCCACCCCCCCAGGTCCGGAGACCTTCCCATCCAGACACGCACCACAGTCTGCTCCTGGCCTTCCTCACAGTCACTAGTGGGACAAATCCTTTTCCAAGTAACCGGTGTCATTTGGCTTTTCTTGGCTGATTCCCCAGCACCTCCCCATAAGATGCAATAAAAAAAAAACATTATTTTTAGGAATAAGAAGCAGCAGCTAAGTAGTCAGGAAATACTTTTAAAAAGCATCACCACCCAGCTCGACGAAAGCCATCCCTCCAGCCCTGGGCCTGGATTGCAGGGGTGAGCGGTGTCGACGGGCTTCATTCCCTGGTTCCTGGGGGTGCCTGGGCCCAGAGCCCCCGGCTCCCTGGGTGCCCCGGTGCTGGTGCAGGAGAGCGCGGCCTGTGTTGCCTGTAGCTGCAGAGCCAGGCCTTGAGCCTCGGGCCTCCCTCCCCCCTGGGCACCTCTCCGGGCTGTGGAGCATGCCAGCCGGCGGGGCAGATGCCGTGTCACCACAGCCTCACCCTGTTAAAATCTGCTCTTGCAGCCTTAGTCCGTTCAAGGGAAGATGTGCGTCCTGTCCTGCGGAAAACGCCATGGTTAGAAAGAGACGGCCTTTAATAGAGCTGATGACTGTACCTGTCCTGTTTTGCCTTCCTCAATCCACTATGGAATTTTCTAGAAGACCACTCAGGCACAGGCCCCTCCCAGGGGTGTGCCGGTAGTGTGTCCATGCCAGGCATTCTAGAACATTCCCTTTGTCAGCTGACGTGGCTCATTCGCTGTGCTTTTTTGGCCTTGGATTTGTGGTCTTTTTTAATTTGAAAGATGCTTTCAACATGCTCTTAAAGGTATTGCAAAACTGTGTCATGTCCCAAGAACTTTGTGAACCAAATAAACATTTTATTCAAAATGCTTCTTGTTTCCCTGCAAAGGAGAAAAATGCTGCCATTGCATCATGCTAAAGCCAATTGTCTAATTACCAGGAAAGCGGATCCCCTGCCGGGCTTCCCAGATGACCCACACTAGACCCTGCACCACATGTGCTGCAAGGCTGCTCAGCTCTCCTGCAAGCTTCGCTCTGTACCAGACGTGAGCCCACAGCACCCAGCACAGTGCGTGCTCTTCTGGGGGGTCCTCAGCTCCCATGCAATTCTCAGAGGGTCCGAGACCCCACACACGGAGGACTGCCAGCCTCCTCGATGGCCACTCCTCGCCCAGGCTGTGCGTGATGAGAACACCCCCACTGCACAGGGGCAGCATGCCTGTGTGGGTGGGCTCTCACTGATGCATTCAACGTGGTGAGTTCGGTGAGCTGAGCCCTGTTCTGGAGGCAGCAGGGGATGGGGGTGCTGTCAGGGTGGGGCAGGGGGCTGCTCCCAGAGGCCTTGATGCCTCAGCCCGGCATGTAGGAGGGGTGCTCCGACATCACCTCCTGGCTAGGAAGCAACTCCCAATCACCTGTGGGCTCCCCAGGCTGCCAGCCATCCCCACCCTATCGGCGTGAGCCCTGAAGCAGGCGATGATGCTCTTTCTCAGTGGAGGGCTCTCAGGCTCGCTGAGGTGAGCCACTGACTCGGAGTCATTTGGTGGAGAAACTGACGCAGGATGGCAGTCTGCACTCTGTCCACGACCCAGCGCAGCTTCTAGCCTGGCAGCTTGTCCTGCAGCAGCCACCGTGGGCTCAGCGGCCCAGCCAGAGTCTCCAAGTTCTTGCAGCCTCACCTCTGCTCACATCTGCCGGCCCACCTGGCCCCAGCTTGACAGCGCAGCTCTGGCTGTGCACTGCCCCGGCCCCTTGGCCTGTGACCCAGGGCGCTGGTGGGATGGGGAGGACGTGCACACCTCTTGGTCCCTGGGAGGGTCAGCCTGTCTGTGACCTGCCCCTGACGAACCACTCGGCTCTTTTGGCCAAGGGGCTTTGAGTGAGAGGGTGTCCCTTCCAACTTAACCCGGGAGGAGAGAGGCTGGTCTAAGAAGGGACTGCCAAATTCTCCTCACTGGGTCTTTAAAAATAGCAATAACTAACAATGACCCTTTTCATCAAATCTAAAATGCTGCCAATTTAAAGCTTTACCATTTTTTCGTCTACCACTCAGAAAGAAAAATACCTCCAGATGGGACTGTAATGGTCGATGCCTGCATGAAGCTGGCCACTAAGGGCAGGACTCACTCGGCCTGTCTGCAGGAGGGACCGCAAGGAGACTCGTGTGCCCCCTTGGCACCAGGGAGGAAGGGCACACACCTCCCTGAGAACGTGCCCCACCAGCTGGCCCTAGGCAAGCGTGGGGTCTGCATTCATCCTCCCGGCGTGGGGCACAGACCTCAGACCGGGAGTCAAAGGAAAGTGCCCAGGAGACTGGCAGGAAGGAAATGGCTTCTGGTAGGACATGATTGCCAGCACGGTGGAAAGAGGGCAGCGTTGGGCATCAGGTGCCCTGGACTCCTGAGGTGTTGAAATGGGCAAGTAGAGCCATAGGGTGCAGTAAGTGGCTCCTTCCCTGAGCGGGGGGAGGGCTGGGGGAGGTGGGAGCCCTTCCAACACTTACTCCACAGCAGGTTCCATCCTATTACCCAGTCTCTGGACCAAGGGACTGTCCAGGGCCTTAGGGTGCAGAGGCCTCCGCTCCAGGGTCCTCCCTTCCTTCCCCCAGGACAGCTGGGAAAGAATGTACATGGCTTCTAGAGGTCACCTGGGGCCGCGGACCTGGCCCAGGTGGCACTGCTGGGCTGCGGACCCCCTGTCTGGCTGGCATTGTCCCCAGGGCCCAGGCACAAGCACACCGATGTGCACTTGGGCTGGATTGCAGCGGTGGGGCTGTGAGAGCGGCTGGCAGGCAGATGTGCGCACATCTGGACAGCAAAGCCAGCACTGGTCAGTCCCATGGAGGGGCGTCCAGAGCACGGGCTAGACCCCAAAGCAGGCCTGACTGGGGGAGAGAGGAGCTCTGGGCAGAGAGCAAACTGGGGCCTCCAGGTCCACCTTTCCTCCCAGGCCCCCGAGGACTCCTGCCGAGGTGGCTGCTGGGCATGCTGGGCACCAGGGCGGCAGAATGTCTGCATTGCCTTTGCCCCCTCACCTGGCAGGGCTGGAGGGAAGATGCCCTGTGAGTCTTTATGCCATCCCTGGGTCATCTGTGGTCCTTTAATGTGCTGAGTAGGTGGCCTGCCACATTTCACTGAGGACCCCTGTGCCAGGTCCCCAGTGAGGCCCTGCTTGGCACAAACTAGGGGGTCTTTTCCTGAGGGTGCAGAAGGGGACAGGCTGAGGGGCAGGCCCTACCTAGACCTTCCTCACAGGCTCCCCCCGGGCACCCACACCCCGACTCGGTGGGGAGGTGGGGACACTGCCTCACAGTGGACTGGGGTGACAGCTGGCTCACAGCCCGGTCCCAGCCCCGCCTGCCCAGGGACTGGCCTTCTAGACCGGATGAGCGGGGATGTGCAGGCCGCTCCCAGACCCTCAGGTGGGGGGCGGGACGAGTCCCGGGGGGCGTGGACCCCGGGGGCGGGGTGTCGGGGGAAGTGGGCTGGCTGCCCCATCCCTCCCTGGACCCGGGCCTCCCCTTCATGCAGTTTCTGGCGGCAGGCGCTGTAACCCGACTCCGCCTGGGCTGGTGGGGGGCGGGAGCCCGCGGCCGACGGCCGCCCGAGTGCCACATCACTGCGCCGCCCGCCGGCCTGCCCGCGGCCCACCATGCCGTCCTCGCTGCCGCTGCCGCTCCTCGCCCTGCTGGCCGCCGTCACCGCCCGGCCCGGGTGCGAGCCCGCCCGGGACCCCTCCGGTAAGGCCGCGCCACCTGTGTGGGATGGGAGCTTTCCCCGTCGCCCAAGTAGGTGCCCTGTGATCTTGGACCTCGCGGTCTGCCCAGGAGGGGCCCTGGGTCTCTTGGCGCAGGAGGCCAGGACCCCAGGGCAGGCACGGTGGGCAGCCTGGGCAGCGGAGGGATCCTTCCTGGGTCAAGATACAGCAGGCAGGAGGTCCCAGGGGGCAGGTGATGGGACTTCGCAGGAGAGGCCATCCAAGGTCCCTGGTCCTTCCAGGAAGGGGCGGCCTCTGGGCCTTGGCAAACTCTTGACCCCTCCCTCCCACCTCTGGCGGTGATGCAGGCTTCTCCCCAAGTGGGTGCAGAGAGCCTGGGAATGGGTACAGTCCCCTGGGAGGCGACAGGGGCCCTTGGGGGCCGGTGGGTGCTCCTGAGGGCTCTGAGGCAGGGAAGGAGTGGACGTGGGGATCCTGGTGTGGGGGGTGCGCCTGAGCTTGTGATCTCACCTGAGTGGGGTGCAGGGAGTGGGCAGAGGCCCCCGGGTCCTGAGCTACATCCTGGCCACATCTGCCCTCCTGAGTGGGCCTCTGTGGCCCTTCATATTCAAAGGTGGGGGTGCACCAGACCCACTGTCCTCAGGGCCCTTATCAACAGCAGACATCTGTGCCCCTGGAGGGTGGGACTCCCCTTGGGCATGGGGGCCCTGGCATGTCAGATCTGAGGTCTAAGTGCAGGGGGTTGTGGTACCTGAGAACCTGCTTACTGCAGCCAAGAGGATATGCCAGGAGCAGAATGCCCCTGCCAGAGTGCCAATGCCAGTCCGTCCCTTCTCTTCTCTCTCAGTCTGTCTTTCCTCCCCACTTCTGGCCCTCCCTGTCTCCTTTCCTTTCCCACTCTGCAGAAAAGCCCAGGCTAGGCAAGGCGTGTGTGTGTGTGTGCACATGTGCATGTGCACAGGTGAGCATGTTGGATGTAGATGGAATTTGAGGTGTCAGTGGCCCTGAGACCCCAGGAAATGTCCAGAATCATAGGCTTGCCAGGGACCGCGGTCCCCTCCTCCAAGCTCTCCCTGACTTGACTTTTCCCCAAGAAGAGCAGCAGCCTCCTCTGGAGGCCAGCAGCGCAGGCTGCTCCCTCCTGTCCTGGAGGGATGGGTAGGGAACATCCCTGGCCGCAGCCCTAGTGGCTTTGGAGACTCGCAGGAAACAATCCTCCTCCAGGGCGTGGGGCAAGTGCCGTCCAGGGAGCCGAGTGCCCTTTCCAGGCTTCAGATGGGATGGGGTGAGGCCGGGCGACCCGGTCCAGGCTGCTCTATCCAGGGACCAGACCCATGTCCCCATCTCACTTGTCCCGGGGCCTCAGAGCAAGCCCAGACCCTCCCCTCTGCGTGTCCCTTGCCTTCCCCCAAGTCCTCCCGGGGAGCCTGGGATCTGAGGGTCTGATGGGGACCCTCTCCTCTGCTGGGTGGCCTTGAGCAGAGGGCCTGATCTCCGCCTTCATTCGGGTTTCCCTTCTGTTGGAGGGTCCTTGGCCGGGAGTTACGACCTGTCCCGGTCCTCGCACAGGGAGAGGGAGACCCAGCCCCCGGCCTTCCCCATTCCTCGGCTGCAGACGCGCTGACACCTTGTGGTGGAGAGCTGTAAGGGTCACGTGTGGGTCAGCATTGCCAAGGGAACATGCCGGCCACCTGCATAATTTTACACTTTCTAGTAGTTACACTAAAGAGGTAATAAGACACAGATGAAATTAACAACAAAAGCCACTATTGTGCTTCAGTATTTCATCATGAATATAACAATTATGAATGAAATATTTTACGCTATCTTTTGGTGCTGAGACTGACATTTGGTGAGTATTGTACACCGGTGGTACATGTCAGTTTGGTCTTTGCATCCAGTATCACATAATGGCTTGTGGCTCCATGCTGGACGGGGTGGCTAGGGCAGCGAGTTCCTCCCCTGACCCCACCCAGCCCCCGAGCTCCCGAAGGCCCTCCCTGGTCTTAACTTTGGTTATGGGTTGAATCGTGTTCCCCAGAAGATATGTAGGAGTCCTAACCTCTGGTACCATGACAGTGACTTTATGGGGAAACAGGGTCTTGCAGATGGAGTCATATTAAATGAAGTCATCCTGGCTCGGGGCAGGCCCTAAATCCAATGTCTGGTGTCCCTAGAAGAAAAGGGAGAGTTGGACACAGACCCCCTCCCCCAGGAGGACCATGTGATGACAGAGCTGAGACTGGGGTCATGCAGCCACAAGCCAAGGACTGCTGGGAGTCTCCGTCAGGCCCCACGGGGGGGCCTGGCCTGCCGGCACCTTGATTTCAGGCTGCTGGCCTCCAGGGCTGTGAGAGCATCGAAGGCTATTGTGCCACTGTGCGGTATGTGGCTGCAGTGGCCCCAGGGCATGAAGCCACCCATTGCTCTCTCCCTAATGTGGCATTATTTCCCCAGATCCTGCAGCAACAGTGGGCACTGCTATTATTGCCCCCATTTTACAGTGAGACTGAACCACAACAGGGCTTCAGTTTTCTCCTCTGTAAATTAGGAAGACTCGGAGCTACGTGAGGCCAGGAGGGGAAACAGAGGCAGAAAAGAGTGACTCCAGGGCTTCCCTCCTGTGACAGGTGGAGTTTGGGCCAAGTGCTGTCTGGGTCCGGTGCGGGGCATTTTCCCTGCCCTCCACAACTGCCGGGCTCATACATGCTCACATCTTCCCCATCCTCCATTGCCCCAGGGCTCACCCACGCTCACTTACCAGGTTACCTGGGCAAGGACGGAGCCGTGTGTCCCAGGGTGGCAGGTGTGTTCCTGCAGGTCATCTGCGCACACCCGGCTGCACACCATGCAAGAGTTTGTGTGCATCCCTTTATGCTGCCAGTGGTGAGGGTGGAAATCAGAGTTATCGTAGGAGTACCTGGTGGTGACATGGGCCCCAGGAGCTTTGGGAGCTGGTCGGCACAGGGGTCAGACTGTGGTTGCCCAGTCCACAGAGGGCAAACCGAGCACAGGTTCCTGAAGCTGGAGCTGCCTGGCCAGCCAGGCAGGCCCAGAGCCCGCCCTCCTGCGTCCCCAGCACTGGGGGGCTCACGTTTGCGCAGGTAGATTCCTGTAGTCCTGTGTCGCACCGTTAACCCCGGGAGCAGCTCCCACTCGTCCCAGGCTCACGGTTCAGGCCCGGGTTTCAGAGAAGGTCCAGGATTAGAACAGGGCCTCTTCCCTCTGGTTCTCGAGCTCCTGTCTGCCCTTGGCCTTCGCCCCACACCTACTTTTCCCATCTTGTTTTCCCCCTATTCTGCCACCAGCCTGCCCTCCCCCAGGGACTCTGCACAGCAAGGCCAAGGTCAGCTGGGCCTTAAATCTGGTCTCTGTCTCTGAGCAGCGCTTCCTTCTCGGCGCTCTCTGAGCTCGCATTACCTGCTTCTCATAGGGGACTTGACGGGTGGCATTGAGCTGGGTTTTGGTGGCTTTCCCTGGGGTCTCACTGTTGCGTCTACATGTCTGGACCTCAAGGAAGGCCTGGCCAGCCCAGCAGGGCCAGAGTTCTGTGTGTTTGTTCTCTTCTCTGGGAAGAGGGTCCCCAACTCAGGAAACAGTGGAACACCATGGCTGCAGAGAGTTATGGGGGGCAAGGAGCTGGGGCCCCCGAATCAGGCTCCAAGGAAAGCTTGCTACATACTTGGGAAGTCTGCAAGAATCAGTTGTTCAGCTGCTAGAAGCTTGATACTGGCCCCTGGAAGTATGTACCCCACAGAGATGGTGAACTCTAGCTAAGGACTCTCCATCCTGGTGGGCGCCTGGCTGCTGTTGGCCCCAGGCCTTGGGACCAGCTGGAGGACCCGGGGCTCTGTGGCTGCCTTGCCTGAGAGTGGGGTGACCTCTCTGGGCCTCGGCCTCCTCACCTGGGGAGGGGTTACCAGAGGGCAGAGACTTGCTGCGGAGCTTGAGGTCAGGCTGAGGAGGGTCAGCCCAGGCCTGGGTGGCCTGGGCACTCAGGGGGTGACAGCTGCTGTCCCAAGAGCAGCCACCTTTAGCGCATTTGTGAGGAGGCGCCCGAGGGCCCCGGCCTGCGCCCCTGGCAGTGTCTCCCTTCCTCCTTCCAGGCAGCTGCCGCCGGCTGCCTGCTGCAGACAGCGGTACGGTACTGGGCATCCTCGGTTCTGTGCTGGGGGAGAGATGCTGGGCCTTCGCACTATCAGCAGTTTGGAGAGCTGAACCCAGGGTCCCCAAGTGGGTGACAATGTGGCCCGTTAATCAAACCCACACCCCTTCTTAAACAGAAATGAAGCAAAACAAAAAAGTAAGGCCCCCCCTCTGTGCTGCACGGTCTCCGTGCCGCCTCTGCCCACCAGGGTCCTGCTGACGGGGTCCCTGCCTTCCCCCCTCCACCTCCCTGACCCCTGGCTGACAGGAAGTTGGCTCCCGATGGGCTGGGCAGCGGCTGGTGCGCCCACTGCATCTTCCCTTGACCCCGGTGCTCCCTGGCTCTGGGCTGCGAGGCCTGCGCCTGCCCCTCCCCTCTCGGGGCCCTGCCGCTCACGCGGATCTCCCGGGATGGCTCTGAAGAAAGCGGGGAGCTGATGCGCCCGAGGGACCCAGAGGACATTTCTTCTCAAGTCTCTTCCCACCAGATTTGGCGTCTGGTGTATTCTAAGTAACAGACTAGATTCTTTTATAAAGCAGGAAACTGTTCCCAATACAAAAGCCTATGAATAACGTATATAAAATGTTTTGAGCGGAGAAATGCTGAACAGAAAGTACCCCATCCATTCTAAACTTTGACTGGAAAAGTGGCAAAATCTTATAACTGTACCATTAGATGGACAGTGTGGCTGGGGACAGAGGGGGGCAGCATGGGGGGCATCAGCGCAGGGCAGTGGCTACGGGCACACGTCTCCTTACCAGAGGGGGCTGGGGCTGGCTGTGGCAGTCTCAGAGGGCCTCGGAGCATGGGACAGCGCAGCCTGGCCACCCTGGCTGGAAAAATAGCAATAATGACCAGACATGAAAATGCCCAGTGGTGGTGAAGACCTTGTACTTACAGCATCCTTGCAAGCTGCAGAGCTGGGTCAGGCCGAGCTCAGCCATGGCTGTCTTCACCCACCCGTCTCCCCCAGGCCCTGAGCCCAAGCTGACCACCTAGGGATCAGCTGCTTTCCCAGAGGCACCGGGTAGTCAGGTTGACTGCATTTCTGGGGATGCGTTTGCTCAGGGGTTTTGGTTTGGGATGGTTTACACCTGCTTCTGCCAAACCCAGGGTCTGTTGGCCTCTTTCATGCGCCCTAGGGTGGCGAGCCCTCAGCAGGGCTGGCTTTCCTGCATTCATTTGCAGACGTGTGAGCTGAGGCCCAGTTGCCTGCCCTGCTCACTCGCTAGTAAGCAATCGAGCACGGTCAGTGGTAGGGGCCTTCCCTGGTCCTCCCACAGACTTGGCCTTCCTCCCAAGTAGCCCCTGCCCCATCCTCTCCCCTGCCAGCCTGTGAGCACCCTGCCCCTGCAGGCCCTGGCCCCGGGTGGGTCTGTGTGGCAGGGCCAGCCCTTAGTGTCCGAGGATGACTGCAGGAGTCACGGTGGGAGGGCGTGACCCAGTGACCCCGCCTGCCCCCAGCCACATGCGTGGACCTGCGGCTCAGGACGTGCGGTGACACCTCCTACAACCAGATGGCCTTCCCCACCCTGCTGGAACACCGGTCTCTGGAAGCAGTGGAGTCCAGCTCCGAGTACATCCTGCTGAGCGTCCTGCACCACCTCCTGGAGGGCCAGTGCAACCCCGACCTGCGGCTGCTGGGCTGCGCCGTGCTGGCCCCCCGGTGCGAGTGTGGCCGTGTGCGCAGGCCTTGCCGGCACGTCTGCGAGAGCCTGCGGGAGGCCTGCCAGCCCGCCTTCGATGCCATCGACATGGCCTGGCCCTACTTCCTTGACTGCAGCCTCTACTTTGCACGCGAGGAGGAAGGATGCTATGACCCCCTGGAGGTGCTGCGGGGTAAGTGGAGGCCAGAGTGCGGGGGCTCGGGGCGTCCAGTGGTGTCCAGGTGTCAGAGTGGGGGGCATGCCTCAGCCAGCTTCGCCCTGAATGCAGGTGCCCAGGCTGGGAATGCATCTGGCCGGCCAAGGGTCTCCTTCGCTGAGACCCCCTCCAGAAAACTGGTGCACTGGCTGTGTCCCAGTCTGGTGTGGGCAGGACAGTGCATGGGGTCTGCCAGGCCGCAAATGCCTGTGGCCGGGCCTGGAAGATTGCATGTAGGGTACTGGCTGGAGCTAGACTCCTCCAGTGGGGTCCTTGCTGTCCTGTGAGCTCCAGAAAACAGCAGGAGCAGCTGCAGAGGGTCGGCTTTAGTTTCTCATGCGGAAAAACCAGGAGAGGTAGAAGGGGCAGCCCTGGGTGGTGGTGAGCCTCTCGTCTCAGGAGGTGTGCAAGGAGGTCTTGCAGGTGACCCCACCCTCCCCCAGCCACATGCGTGGACCTGCGGCTCAGGGACCTGCGGTGCTGCCTTCAGGGGCTGGACCAGAGCACCCACCTCCAGGGCCCACCGCGCCAGTTCCTCCAGCAGCCCTGGCTGAGAGAACTCCCCGTGACAGGGGAAATGTTCTATTCTGTGCTGTCCCAGACTGCAGCCACCACTCAGAGATGGCTGTAAGCACAGGGACGGTGGCTAGTGCGCTGGGGATCTCGGTTTTTGCTCTATTTGGCCTTGATGAATTTAAGCCTGACTGAACAGCCGCGTGGGGTCAGTGTGTGCTGTCCTGGGCTGCGCAGGACGGCGTCTGCTCCTGGCTTCTCATACACTCACGTCATGAGGCACAGCCAGGCTCTGATCTGGGGCCGAGTGCCACACATTGCTGTCCACTCAAACCCCACCCAGCGCTCCAGCCCTCTAATTGCAGGTGGCAGCAGGGCCCTGGGCTCCTGCCTGGCAGAGCTGCTGCGAGTGCGTCAGTTGCAGATGAATGGATCAATCTCTCTGTCTGTCAGTCACTGAGCACCTGCCGTGTATGTGGCTGTGTGTGGGGGTACCGAGAGTGATAGGGAGCACCCTCGGTCCCCACTGGTCTCTGGCGAGCCCTGGCTTCAAGATCTGCTGCTCCCTGGCTGTGTGGGGCTCAGGGCCAGACCCAGAGCTGAGTCTGGGATACGAGGATCCATCTACCCCACAGGCCTCTGTGCAGGTCCGCAGGCAGGGCCCTGCCAGCTGATAGGAGCCTCTGCATGTTTGGAGGCGGAACACTCGGTCAGCAGAGGCGCCGAGTGAGGCCGGAGGCAGAGGATGCGAACCAGACGTTCTGCAGGGCCGGCCCACCTGCCCTGGGAAAGCCTGCGGAGTTGGCTTGGGAGAGATTATTTTGGGCAGCTCCACTACCAAATCGCCGCTTTCGTCTGCTTCTTCCTCCCTCAAAAACCATTTTTAGCAGAAACAAAACCACAGGGCAAGTGAGACACTTTAGGGAAAAAGCATTAACCGTTAACAGGCCCGGACAGCCTGTGGCTCCTGGACCCTGGGTGGGGGCAGGAGGCAGTGCCTGCGCCCTACTGAGGGGGTGGGAAGCTGGCAGCCTCCAGATCGCACTGAAAACCACCTGTTCCTGAGACCCGAAAGTCCAGGAATTCCCTAAGGACACTGTAAAGCACGGGCACAGCCTCCCCTCCCGCCTCCTGCCCTGTACCATGCTCCCCACTGCAGGGGTAATGCAACGATGTCTGGAGTCACGGCAGGGGGGCAGGCTGGAAGGATGCCCGCTCCTGCTCACGGGAGCACACGAGTCACCAGGCCACAGCCAGAGAGCCTTTCCTGCTGAGTGTCTGTGGGGTGCTTCTCCTTTATAGTCTCCTGTTCTGTGTTTTATGGATTTAAAAGTAACCATGTATTACTTTTATTCATAATAACTTTAGAAACTATGTTGCTATACACATCTGTTGGGTGCTGTTATTAGCTGTCCATATTAAGTATTATAAAGGGAATTTTAATTAAAAACCTAAGTGCAAATTGTCTGGGGAGCCATCCAAGGAGGATGCATGGGTTCCGGCAGCCAAGTTGCTGCCATGTGGTGGGGGGTGTGAGGGCACTGGGAGTGGTCAGTGGCCCGGGAGCTGGAGCCACCCGTGGAGGTGGGCAGCAGGCAGGCCTGAGAGCTGGCAGGGTGCAAGGCAGCTGAGGCTCCCCCCAGTGTGAGCCTGGACACCTTCTCCCCCCCCAGGGAGCCTGGACACTGAGGAGGCACCGCCCTCCGGCCTGCCGTCCACGTTCATTCACTTCACCCACCACTCCTACGCCCAGATGGTGCGAGTGCTGAAGCGAACGGCAGCCCGCTGTGCCCACATTGCCAAGACCTACAGCATCGGGCGCAGCTTTAATGGCAAGGAGCTGCTGGTCATTGAGTTCTCCAGCCGCCCTGGCCAGCATGAGCTGAGTAAGCCCTGCTGCTGTCAGACGCCCGAGTGGGACCCCAGTGTGGGCTAGCTTCCGGGAAAGAGCATTGGGGTGGGCAATCTGGGGTCTGGGATCCTAGTCAAAACCCCCAGTGTTTGGGGACAGGGCATGGGTGGGGAATCTGGTGTCCTGCAGTGCACGGCCCCACTGTGTAGCTGAGACTCACAGGGGAGGCAGGCGGGAGAGGCAGCGTCCTGGGGCTGTCGGGGGGAGTCAAGTGAGGGTTTCCAGTGGCTGCAGGCGGCCAGGCCCTGTGTGCCTCTGTAGGGAGAAGGAAGCTGCTCTGTGCACTGGGTGCTCTTGCCCTGGCACACCTGGGCCCCAGACAGGTATATGGGGCGCCCGCCCCAGCCACTTGCTGTTTGCTCCTCAGGTTGGTAAACGTGCTCTCACAGACTGATGTGAATAAGCACTTTCTCCATTTTAAAAAACCACGTCCATTTCAGCATCTCGTAGCAGGCTCAGAGGTCCCCTTTTGATGTGAGGGACAGCTGCGTGGGAACCTGCAGAGCTGGGTACTGGCAGGGCCTCCTGTAGCTGAGCAAGGGCCCCTCAGGCCAGGGCTGTGGGTGCTGGAAAGAATGATGGAGAAGCTGAATTTCAGGGGCAGACGGAGGAAGAGCCGGTGGGCCCGGGGGACCGGGTGCTCTGGGAAAGGCACAGCCCCTGGCCCACGGGACATTCTTCTGTGTGGTGAGGGAGGGTGACCACGAGCCTCTCCAGGGCGCAGACAGCATTGGTACGGGACCCTGTTCTGGCCTCTGCCAGGGAGTCCCTCCTCGGCCTGTCCCTCAGCGTCTGTGCCCGGGACGTCGTGAGCCAGATGAGACAAGTCTGGAAGCCATCCCCATCAGACCGTCGGCCCTTTAAGTCACCGAAGAACACACCTCGTCTTGGCCAAGTGGCTCCTGCTCCTTTGGTGGGCTGGCCACACTCGGCCCAGTTCCCATCCCGCCAGCGGCTTGGGCAGCTCGCCCCTCATGAGCTCAAAGCCCCAGCTCCCTCCGGGGCCCGCCCGCCTCCTCCCCTCCGCTGTGGCTTGCTTGGGGCTGAAGACAGTTCTGTTTTGACTTCTGATTAGCCCTAAGCAGTGACTGTGTGGGTGCAGGGAGTGCCCTGTGAGAGGGCCAGGGGGTGCCTGTGCACAGCCTCAGGACATTCATACCCTCAGAATGCGGGAGGGGCATGGGCGTCTGCTCCCCAACTGCACACGGCCAGGGAGGAGGTGCCGTTTCCCAGATGAGCAATGTGAGTCTCAGAGACGACGGTGACTTGTCTGAGGTCACACAGCTGGGAAGGCTGCCAGGCTTCTAGTCCACTCTTCTCTCCCTGCAGTCTACCAGTCTTCTATCCTGCGCACATCCTCTGTGCATCCATCCATCACCCACCCACCCGTCCATCTTCCATCCGTGTCCATACATCTGCCACTCCTTCCGTCTGTCATTTGAGCACCAGCTGCCTTCCCATCTAAGTACAATGTGCGCCTTAACTTTTAACACAAACATGAATAGTACCTATGAATGAAATTCACACAAACCCATGAAACCATGTATTATTATTAATTAATATCTTTATGCTACATGCTAATAATTATGGCTAAACATAAGAAATAAGCTCAATAAAACTGACGACCCTGATGAAGCCTCATTAGTCACAGAGATGTTTAGGCCAAAACAAGTGGGACTAGGTCCCCAAACATCCAGCCACCCACGCTGTGTGGGCCCCCAAGTCTCCAGGGCCTGCGGGACCTTGAGACAGGTCCCAGGTCACTGTGTCTCCCCCCAGTGGAACCCGAGGTGAAGCTCATCGGCAACATCCATGGCAATGAAGTGGCGGGGCGGGAGGTGCTTATCTACCTGGCCCAGTACCTGTGCTCCGAGTACCTGCTGGGCAGCCCCCGCATCCAGCGTCTGCTCAACACCACCCGCATCCACCTGCTGCCCTCCATGAACCCCGATGGCTACGAGGTGGCAGCTGCAGAGGTGAGCGCCCTGTGCAGAAGCCCATGGGACGGGCCGTGGCCCCCACCCCCCCTTCTTCACCCACTAGCAGTTTCTGAGGGGCAGCATGCACCCACCATATGGGGACAAGCACCAGCAGGCGTCATTGGCAAGGTCCCCCCTGCGGTGTGTTAAAGGTGATGCACTCTGGGGAAGCTTCATGATGAGGGGAGTCGGGAGAGTGCGTGTGCGCCCACTGGAGGTTGGGAAGCCCTCTGAGCAGGGCAGGGAAGCTGAGCAGGCAGGGCGAGTACCTGCTGGGGTCCCACAGGCCCAACAGCCAGTGCAAGCCCTGAGGCCAGAGATGCTGAGATGGTAGGAGAGCTCAGGGCTGCGCTCCCCAGTCCCTCCCATACAGCCAGGGAGGTGCCTCGGCCCGGCCCCACCCTGTGGCCTCCCTCAGGAAGGAGTCAGGGTGGGGCGTGCTGATCCCTAGTTGGGGGATGTTCTACATTTCAGGGTGCTGGCTACAATGGGTGGACCAGTGGGAGGCAGAATGCGCAGAACCTGGACCTGAACCGCAACTTCCCCGACCTGACATCTGAATACTACCGTGTGGCCGCATCACGTGGCGTGCGCAGTGACCACATGGCCATCCCACAGCACTACTGGTGGGGTAAGGTAGGAGCCGCTGCTCCCGCCCCCACCCCTGAGGCCCAGGGCCAGCCCACAGACTGCATGGGAGGGGCTCTGGTGACTCGGGCCCCTCTGGCATGGTACCCCACAGGGCAAGGGAGCCTGGTGGTTAGCCTCTGCCCTCTGAGCCTGTTATCTGCCTGGGAAATAGGGACACGTCCTCGCTGGGTTGTTGGGATGCAGAGAACACATACTGGAAGCACCCAGAGCCTGGCAGGTGCTCAGTGACAGCAGCCCTGGAAGGCTGCCTGGAGGGGGTGATGTCCCCAAGAGATGGGAAAGGAGTTGAAAGCAAGAGGCTGGCGGCCTGAAGGGGCTCCTGAAGGCGGGATGGTCTGGTTTCCTCCAGGCACAGGGTGGGAGGGGGGGCATGTGGCCTGGCCAGGTGGCTAGTAGGGCCATGTCCGCTCCTGAGGGTGGCCTCCTGTATTCCGGGCAGGTGGCCCCTGAGACGAAGGCGATGATGAAGTGGATGCGGACGACCCCCTTCGTGCTCTCAGCCAGCCTCCATGGCGGTGACCTCGTGGTGTCCTACCCCTTTGACTTCTCCAAGCACCCGCAGGAGGAGAAGATGTTCTCGCCCACGCCTGACGAGAAGGTGAGAGGGCAGACCTGCCCGGGGCAGGAGGGCGGTGTGGTGCGTGGCGCTGCTTCTGTTCTGAGCTCAGGGAAGCCCGTGGAGCTGCCAACCCCCAGGAGCCTCCCAGGCACAGCTCCAAAGCCTCCTCCTCCAGGAGGCCTTGCAGCAGCTCCACGCAGCCTGTCGCTGCTCTGGTGCACCCACTTCCACCAGGTTCCTGTCTGGCAGCTCCCGGGCTGGGGGCTGGGGCCCAGGGTCTCCGGGCCTGGAAGGTCGCCTGGTGTTTTATGTTGAACGGGAAGGTGGTTCTGGGCGAGGCCGGCAGAGGGCAGTGCTGCCCCACACATGGGCCTGCTCCGCTCACTGCCTCCCTCCTTCCCGTGGGCCCTCGGATGGTGGAGGGTAGGGCTCTGAGGGGGTTGGGATGCACTGGGTCCAGGCAGGAATTCTGGCCCTGGACTTCTCCTGGGCCCTGGGGAGGCTCTGCCCCTCTCCAGGCCTCAGTCTCCCTTTGTGTCAGGCCAGCCGGGGACGAGACCGACGATGATGGCGGGCCCCCTCTCCAGCCCCACTCCTTCCCTGAGCTAGGGCACAGCCCCCGAGCCCCCCAGCCCTGACGGGGTCCCTCCCCGTGCCTGCTCCTGGAGCTCATGCAGGCAGGTCTGGGAGGGGTGTGGGAGCTGATCTCTCCCCGTTTTAGGGATGCAAAGGCCAAGTGCACTGGATAACTGCCCACACCGGCCTGCGCCCTGCCACCCTGCAGCTGTGGCCTGCCCCCCTTTCCCCTGCCCTCTGGGGGGTCTGGGGACGGTCTGAGCTCTCTGAGCCCTTCAGCAGGCCTCCTGGTGGGCCTGTTGGGTGGAAAGCCACCCTGCCCTCTGCCACCTTCCCGAACTTTCCACCTGGTGTTTAGGGGCAGCTCCTGGGTCCTGCGCAGACAGCTCCTCCTGGCCACTCAGAGGTCAGCTCTGCCTAACCCAGCCCCCTGCCAGTGCACAGCGGGTCCGGGCCACCAAGACCAGCAGGACTGGGTCCTGCCCTGCTAATCTAGGGTGGGAGACGGAGCCAGGAATGGGCAAGGACAGGAGGGTGTGGCCAGGGCCAGAACAAAGGGCGGCCCAGGAGGCCAGGCATGCAGCGGGCATGTGTGTTCGGTTGCACTTGTGTGTGGGCATGTGTGTGTGTGGGCACTGAGTGCCAACCCGGTCTGGGCCTTAAGGAAGGCTTCCCTGTGGTGGTGTCTGCCCCAGCGAGCTTGAAGGAAGAGGTGATTTCCTGCAGGCACTCAGAAGGAGCCAGGGCTGGGAATGAGGGACTATAATGGGAGCAGGGGTGGGGGGGCGGGAAACCAGGCTTGGTGCCCTGCCTGGCACCTGAGAGCAGCCCTTGTGCCCATGGGGCCATTCCTTCCTGCCCGCCTTCCGCCTGTGCTGGCTCGCTCACTCATTGACTCCTGCAGCCAGCCCATGCCCAGGGCCAGCCGGGGTGCCCGTCCTGTGCTCCAGGCACAGTAAACACCCCAGGGGTGACTGGGTGGTGGTCACCATGGGCTGGGCCTTGGCCCGACAGTGCTGTCAGAGTGCAGGGCCAGAACCTGGGCCAGGTCTTCAGCAGGAGCCCCTCAGCGCCAGGCTCAGCAACTCTGAACCTCCGAGGCAGTCACTTGAAGGTGTCCCTCGGGGGCTGCTCACCTCAATGAGTCCCACCAGAGCCAGAACAATGAGCCTTCCCCACCAGCGATCCATCTTCGATCGATGCTCCTCAGGCCCGTAGCCAGTGGTGGTCTCTGTGGAAACCAGGGTCCCAGGAGAGATGATGGGTGTGGGAGAGCGTGCGGAGGGCCTGGCCAGGGTGTCCCAAGCACCCTGCAGACTTCCATGGTGCCCTGTGGGTGAGGGCCAGTGCCACAGGGCAGCATTTGAGGCCCCCAGGTGGGCCATGGCCTCCCGCTCCAGCCCCTCTGTCCCCCTGCACCTGCCCCTTCTGCTGGAATCCTAGTACTGAGCTCTGCTCAAGCTCTGCCCGCTTGGTTTACCCTCCCTGGCCCAGCCCATGCCCCAGAGGGAGGGGGCTACGGTTTTATACAGGGTCCCAGGCATGCTAGCTGGGTGCGTGGCCCTTCCCCAGGGGCCTGGCGGCCCCACATGAATCCCTTTCTGCCCCCCTCCTGACAGCCTGTGGCACCCCAGCTCGTTTCACTGCATCTGCGTCCCTGTGTTTCCCTCGCTGCGCATGTCTGGCCTCTGGGCTGGGAGTCCCTCCCATGTCCTTGACCCTCACCCCCCACTCCAGGCTGGGCTGTTCCCAGCAGACCTGTGCTGGCACTCCCTGGGGCTCTGGGGACTGATGGGGACTCCCCTGCTCTCCTGGGGCAGCAGGGCAGCAGCGGGACTGACTGCCAGACAGGAGAAGGGCCCTGGGGTGGGATGGAGAGAGAGAGGCTGGTAGGGTGGGCAGGTGCTGGGCGCAAACCTGGGGCAGTCTGGGCCCACCTTCCCCCACCAGCCCATGCCCCTCTTCGCAGACAGATGGTGGACAGCCAGAGAGGTGGGACCCACGGCAAAGTTCTAGAAACCACCCGATCAGTACCTTCAGGCAGAGGCCGCCTGGGCCCCCAGACCCGTGGCTAAGGAGGGTGGCTGTTGAGTGCAGCCTGCGGGCAGCAAGGGCTGCCACCCAATGGCTGCCCAATCTGCCCACGACAGCCATGAGGCCTATATTTAGGGTCTGCTTTGTGTCTGTAGGACCGAAGTGAACAGCACAGTCCTACCCCAGAGAAACTGGATCCCTCCTTCCCAAAACTGCAGGTCCTGGGTCTGAGTTGCCATGACCCTTCTGGGGGAGACCCTCGCTCTGGCCTGGAGAAGCTCCTCATTACTGACCTACCCTGCGCACCCCCGACTTTCTTACAGAGGAGCCCCTCCCTAGGACAGGCTTCTCTCAGGGCCGTGGGTGCCACTCATCCATCTGACCCCACTTGGGAGCCTCCACCCCGGGTCATGCTCTGTATCTTGCCCTGGGGCCTGTAGATGGCTGAGACCTACCTGAGGGGAGTCCCCCGCCCCTGCCTGGAGTGGGGGTGTGGTGGGGAGAGTGCTGGCTTGGGGATGCCTGCCATACCTAGGAATCCCAGACACCCCTAGCCATGCCCTGCCCCCAAGATGCCCACCCAGGGGATGGCAGGCCAGCCATGATGGACACAGCCACCCAGTGTGGCTCCTCTTGGGAGAAACCCACACACCCTAGCCAGGTGCAGTGCAGGAGCCCATGTGCACCCAAGTACCCACCGCAGGTACCCTGAGCTCTGATCAGCCCACCTCCGGGCCTTTGCATGTACTGTGCCCACTGAGCAGACAACTGCCTGTCCTGAGGTCCTGCACGCAGGAGGCCCCTCACCCCATTGCCCAGCTGTGGGGCATCCCAGAGTGCCCCACCCTGGGTCTTGGCCTCGCAGGAACCCTCTTGGTCTCCTTTCCAGATGTTCAAGCTTCTGGCCAGAGCCTATGCCGACGTCCACCCCATGATGATGGACAGGTCGGAGAACAGGTGTGGGGGCAACTTCCTGAAGCAGGGCAGCATCATCAATGGGGCAGACTGGTACAGCTTCACAGGAGGTGTGGCCCCGGGGCTGGGCCAAGGGGTGGGAGCAGGGGGTGGGGAGGGGGAGGGGAGTGACCACTGTGGAGGGACCACCGGTCCCCTCCCCTTGCCATTTCTGTAGTTTGTTTCGTGAGAGCTCGTAGTTCATAGTTTCACCTGTAACCAATTCTTTTTTGTGTCTTGGGCTTATGTAGGGCTGTTCCATGAAATACAGGACCCTCAGTTAAACCTGAATGTCAGAGAAATACGCAAGGACGCTTTAGGACTGTGTGTTCATGTCCCAAATCCTGCCGGAGATGCACTTATACTGGCCTTCATGGCTGTCTCTCTGACACCCTGTGGAGCAGGGCGGTGTGCACGTGATGCTGGGTGCCACAGGGGCATCCGCTGGGCTGGGCTGGCCACACTCCTCTATGCTCTGCCTGCCCACCTCCGCCTGGCATGGGGCTTCTTTTTTTATGTCGTTTGGCAGATGAAGAAATTGGGCTCAGACAGGAGAAGGACCTGTTGCAGGTCCAGCTGCAGGCGGCAGAGCTGGGCTGCATGGCTCCCGCCTCCCTGATGTGTGGGCAGAGAGCACAGCCCCTTCGGCTTCTGCTCAGAAGCCAGGTCACTCTTCTGCCCAGCAAACTTTCCCCTGCTGCCCCATGACCAGCATGTGTGGCTCTTTCCAGGGAAGACAGGGCAGCTTTGCCTCTGAGAACCCAGGCGTACGGGCTGCCTGACTCCCAGGGCAAGGGCTCTGGGTCTCAGTCATGACCCTGTTACCAGGGTCTGCAAAGGACCTGCAGGAGCTGAGCCTGGGGGTGGCCTGCCGGGCGCCCTTTCCACCACAACACAGACCTAGGGACAGCCTGGGGCCAGTGGCCAGGGAGGGGGGCCAGACGGATGGGGGTGTGGCCGCTCTGCAAACTGCCAGTGTTAAGTCGACAACAGTGGCTGCTGGGCACCAGGCTCAGAGGCCCCTGGCTTCTGAAGGGCGGGGGTCTCCGGCTGCTCCCCACACAGGGCTGCCCTGTCACTGCTGTAGGCCTACCCTGCAGGATGGCTGCGGCTTCTGCTGGACAAGAAAGTTCAAAAGCAGAGGGGCAGGGTTGGTCAGTCCAGCTGGCCCTGCAGCCTCTCTGTGCTTTACCTGGCTGGCTGTCCAGCCTTGGTAGGGCTGCGTTCTCCCTGGGTCTGGAGGGGACAGGACCTCCCCACCAGGCCTTTCTGGGGACTGTCTAGGCAAATGGACATTATTATCCCTGGGGTCCAGGCCCAGAGGGCCAGCAGCACGGACACCAGGCGCATGTGTGGCCCCACATGCTGCTGGCTTCTCTCCTGGAAATCGCTCAGACCCTACGTGCTGGGCGCAGTGTGGGGTGGTGGGGAAGCCCAGAGACATGGGCGCCCAACTGCATGGGTTCAGACGGGTTCAAAGTGCAGTTCGGTGCCTCCCCTGTGGGTCCTTGGGTAGGAGCCATAACCACTGTGCCTCCATCCGTCGTCTGTAAAGTGGGATGATGACGCCCCTCGCAGCTTTCCGCACTCAGCACCTGCAGGTGGGGTTGTTGAGGGCCGGCAGGCACTCAGGCCTTCCTGTCCCACAGGCATGTCCGACTTCAACTACCTGCACAGCAACTGCTTTGAGATCACGGTGGAGCTGGGCTGCGTCAAGTTCCCCCCCGAGGAGGCCCTCTACACCATCTGGCAGCACAACAAGGAGCCGCTTCTCAGCTTTGTGGAGATGGTGAGCGCTAGGTGGCCTCTGCCTGGCGCGGGGGGTGACCGATGGGGTCCCCGAGGCAGCCCCCTCAGCCTCGCTGGGCCGCTTCGTGTGGGTACTCAGCGCCTGGCCCGGTCTTTCAGCGGCTCGGCGACTGGGGGCCCAGGGACCAGGCGTCCCCGCCTCTCCCTGCCCCCCTCAAGCGAGCGTCCTGTGCCTGGCTCATCCCCAGGAACTCCTGGGGCTCTGAAGGAGGACGCTGCCCTTGAGAGGACTGTGGGATGTCGTAGGGGAGAGCCGAAGCCTCTGCTGTCTTTCCCCTGAGTGTTTCCAAGAACCACACAGTTTGCATCTTGGTAGAGCACCCTCGTGGGGCGCGGGCCCTCGGAGAGAAGCGGCCCTGCCCAGAGGCGGTGCTGAGAGGGCTGCGAGCACCGCATCCCCCCACGGCACTGCATCCTGACAGCAGTCCAGGGCGGCAGACGGGGCAGCCCCATGCTACAGGCAGAGGGGTAGGGTGCTGGGGAAGGGTGGCTCCGGTCCAGGGTGGCTGAGCCATGCATGGGCCCCTGTTCCCAGTTTTCAGTGGCTATGAGCCAGTCAGAAGGGGAGTCAGGGTCAGAAAGGGACGGGGTCTGTCCAGTGTCACCCAGTGACTGTGCAGAGCTGGAACCCAAACCTGCCTGCTTCAAACCTCATGTCCCCTCCATTCCAGAAAGATCGGGAGCCTTTCTCCAGGTAAGAAGCAAGCACAGGCTCCCGAATCAGCGGCGGCCGCAATAGGAAGAAGGCCGAGCCCCAGATAAGAACTGGACATCATTAGCGCTGTTTGAGTGTCATTTTTATGGCTGGGCCAACGACCTCTCACTGCATGGGGCAGGTCATCATTCAGTGACGGCTCTGGGCCAGACCCCTCGCTCATTCCATTTTACGGCTGTCTGGTGAAAATGAGCTTTAAGGAGCTTTAAGTGGGGCTGGGATTGCTCTGTGGATATTGTATGTGAAGTCTGGGGATATAAAGATTTAATAGTGCAATACTGCGGAAGGCAGAGCACAGGCTGGGCATGGCCGGCCCCCGAGGGTGCCCCCCGAGAAAAGCTGTGCTGGGGCTTCTGATGAGGATGGACTCTGTCGTGGCCCATCGAGGCCTTTCCCACAGTGATCCTGGCCAGGCCTCAGGTGGGTGTCTACAGGGAAGGGGTGTGCATGTCTCCCTCCCTGTGGAGAGGTCCACGTCCCTGGTTCTGCATGAAGATGACGCCTCAGCCTGAGAACAGGGCCAGCACAGAGCCTAGCCGGTGCCATCTGACGTTAAACGAGGCCTACTGTGTGTCTGGCCTGGCTCTTGGGTTGGGGAGAGGGGCAGATGATGGCCTCATAATGAGGTCGGGGCTGGGAGAGTGGAAGACCAGGACTGCGGAAGCCCCGAGGAGGCCCCTGTGTGGCCAGTCATCAAGGAGGGCTTCCTGGAGGAAGAGGAGTATGAGCTGTGTCTTGGAAGGTGAAGGGAATTGGGCAGGTGCAGGAGCCAGCGAGGTGTGCTGAGCAGAGGGAGGGGCAGCATGACGGACTTGGCAGCCTCCCTGGAGATCCCTCACAGCACCGCGGCCCACCTGCCCGCCCAGCCGTCCTGGCCTCTTCTGACGCGACCTCTGGGCCCCAGTTGCTTTAGGCCCGACAGAGCAGGGGCAGGGCGGCTTGTCCACTGCCTGTGTTTTTTAGGAGAATTGTGAGCAGCTCAGGCAGTTCTGAGCGTGCTTTCTTTTGGAAAAAGCAGCTTCCTAGCCTGCCTGAACGTTGGCTGTGTGTGGGGGCGTCTGCTGGGACACCCAGCTCTGCGTGGACCAGACTCCAGTGGGGGGCAGGTCCTGCAGCCGGGCTCTGCCTCCGTGCCTCCGCGAGTCGGTTCCCACTCACCAGCATGCAAACGCCCAAGGCAGGCACCGCCACCCCGTTGCACAGGTGGGCAGACAGTGCTCAGATGCCAGGCAGCCTGTCCAAGGCCAAAGGGCAGGTGGTGTCATGGCCAGGCTGACACCAGGACCCACCCCTGGGCTTGCGGCCTCCCAGTGCCCCCAGGCCACCTTCAGGACCTCAGCTCAGAGAGAAGCCAGCTGAGCTGACACTGCCTCTGGCCATGAGGGCAGGAGGCCCCAATGCGTCCGAAGGTGGACCTGAGGGGGTTTTCTGCTCAGGGCTCCTGGCCCAGGAGGTGTCAGCCGGGCCCTGGAGCACGATGGCAGCATCATCCACACACCTGGGACGGGGGGGCATTGCCAGAGGGGAGACACCAGAGATGGGCTCACCAGTCACCCCCACTTCACAGATTAGGAGACTGAGGCTCAGAGAGGGAGACTTAGGATGGCAAGAGGGCTGGTGCGGAGCTGGGCTGCGCAGGGCTGGTTTCCCCAGGGACTCCAGCTCCGAGGAGAGATGGGTGAAGCTGGCTGGGCAGGTTGTGCGGGCTCTCTGGAGAGCACGCACATTGTTCACACGCCTGTCCTGCAGGTGCACCGGGGCATCAAAGGCGTGGTGATGGACAAATTTGGCAAGCCGGTCAAAAACGCCCGGATTGTGGTCAAGGGCATCCGCCACGATGTCACCACGGGTGAGCACCTTCCTGGGCCATGTCACAGTGGCTGGCTCCTGCAGATACTCATGGCATGCCGGGCACTCCTCTAGGCCCGACCAGCCTGGTTGAGGAGAGTGGGCAGGAACCCCAGGGTCTGCGTCCGCCCCCAGCTGGGCCTCTGCAGCCTTTGGCCGGGAAAGCACATGCTCAGGTCCTGGCCACTGGGGATAGTAGACACACGGTGTACTTCTCACAAAGTAACCCTGCTGGGAAAACGCCACCTTCTCAAAGATGACAGGGGACGGCTCCCTCTAATCGTGAGCCTGTTTGTTCATATCCCAGTTTACAGCTCACTGATAAGCTGGTGTGTCCAGTATGGACTCTGGGTGCCCTCGGGGATTTTAGAGCTTATTTAAAAATTATGGTATATGTGAGGCATCTGGTAGAAACAGGGTCCAGAGTAGGGAGAGGTTTCTAACTGTGTGAGCTGGAGATGGGGATGGGGTTGGTCAGTGAAGGGTTTGGAGAGGAGAGGGCACCTAAGTAGGGCTTTGAGGGATGAATAGGAGTTGATAGAAGTAGGAGGTGGGAAGCACATTTCAGGTCTGTGCAGAGGCAAGGGTAAATTTGGGGTCTATCTGCCCTCCGGGCTACCTCACAGCAGAGTCTGAGAATCGTGTCTATTTACCCACAGCCCCAGATGGTGACTACTGGAGGCTGCTGCCCTCGGGGTCCCACATTGTGATTGCTCAGGCCCCTGGCTACTCTAAGGTCATCAAGAAGGTCACTATCCCTGACCGGATGAGGAGGGCTGGTCGAGTGGACTTCATCCTGCAACCTCTGGGCACCGGACCCAAGCAGGTCCTTCCTGGGTCACGGAGAAGCGGGCCTGGACTCCGAGACCCTCTGGGAGATGCTGGCCTGCATGGGGAGCTGGGGGGGCCTGGCCAGGATCCCCTTGGAGCGAGGAGGCAGCCCTCAGCTGGCGGGAGCAAGCCCTGGTGGTGGTCCTACTTCACGTCGCTGAGCCACCACAAGCCACGCTGGCTGCTCAGGTACTAGGTGCCACTGTCCTGCCCGGACGTGGAGGCCCAGCCCACCTCTGCCCAGGGGCTCCTGGCTCTTGGTTGCATCTTCCACAGACATCCTATAAAGCCGTGTCCGTGTTACTGAGGTGTTTTTGTCCACCTTCTGCTGGGATGAGAGGCTCTGTGTGAGAGGCACCTGCTGGGCAGGTGGGGGGTGGGTAGGATCTGGGCCCTGGTGCATGAGGGCAGGCCTGGCTCATCCCCGGCGGTGGCCCGAGGGCAGGCGCTCCCGCAGCCTCACAGGCCGCCAGTACCGGGGCTGCCATTCAAACAGGACCGTGCACAGTCCTCCCTTGGCCCCCAGGCATGGTCCTCCCCTGGCCCCCAGGCCTCCAAGGGCTGGGCCTCTGCTTTGCAGGCATGAAAAGTGGGAGCTCAGTGGGCGGGCACGACCCGCCCGAGGTCACATGTGGGGAGCAGGGTGCAGGGCCACGCAGGAGCAGGGACCAGGGTCCTGCTGCGGAAGACTGTGTGTCTGGGAGCCCGTGGAGGTGGGTGGGAAAGAGAAAAGTCGGGGGCCTGGCTGGGAGCGGTGGGGGTGGGCCGCAGCGACCCCCTCAGGCCTCAAGGGCAGGAAATCAGGCAAGGGCCTTGGGCCGTGTGGTTTCACCCAAGGGTCACAGTTGGAGGCTCCTGGGCTTCCCTGGGGCCCCAACTCTAGGAGGAAGGGTCTCCCTCAGCCCCTTCCTCATCCTTGTGACACCACCAACTCGGGTCCAGGGACACCCCAAAGCCCCGACTCCCCACAGGACCCCTCCTGGTCCACCTGCCTCGGAGTCGGGTCTGTCAGCCCTGGGCTCAATGGGCCGGGACCTACGTGGCCTATGGGAGAGTTTGGCCCAGAAGCCATGCTGGTCACCTCAGGCCGTGGATAAAGCACCACAGACCCTTGTCACCTGCCAGCTCTGGAGGCTGGAAGTCTGAGGGCAAGGAGCCCACAGAGCTGGCTCTTCTGAGGCCACCAGGGAGAGTCCGCCCAGGCCTGCCTCCTTGGCGTGCAGGCGGCCTTCCCCTCCGTGTGCCCCCGTCCCCATCCCTCTGTGCCTGTCTGTCTCTGGGTCCAGATTTCCTGCTATAAGGACACTGGTCATCGCGGCTCAGGGCCCGCCCTAACGGCCTCATGTGAACCTGCCCACCGCCCCAACTCTGTCTCACGCAGCCCCACGAACAGGCCCTGGAGGGAGGACCCCAGGAGGGTGGCCCACCGCGCAGTGGTTCCAGGCTTGCCCCTCGCCTGTGTCCCAGGCCCAGCAAGCTGGCCCCACACAGAAATGGAGGATCCCATTCGAGCAGTGCCTTGACCCCAGCTGAGTACTAGCGTGACCCCAACCAGCGCCACCAGCCTTGTTTGAGAGCTTCCTGCCAGCCTGGGCCGCCTCAGAGGCTTTGGGGCTCATGGTCAAAGCCGAGGGGGCTCTGGGTGGGGGAAGGCATGGGAGGGAGCCGTGGCATCGAGTCAGGCAATCTTGCCTCAGCACAGCGGCCCACGGTCTGCAGAGTGAGACACATGCGCGCCTCCAATCACGATATGGCGCATCCATCAGCACGTCACAGCCTTCAGAGCCCTCTACCCTACATTCACCCACACGTCCCTCATTCCAAAGGTCGGCACGGATTTGGCCCCACTGTGTACCGGGTACCGCACAGAGGTCTGCTGTGACCCCCAAGAGGCCTGTGGAGCAGGGACTCCTGTTCCTACCTTACAAATGGGGGTGCAGCCCAGGGACTTGCCCAGGACCTCAGTGGATGTTGGTGGCAGCCCAGAGCCCCCTTAGGACCCCGGGGCTCCCTGCTTTCCCTGCATCTCACCCCGCTGTCTGGAGCAGAGCCTGCAGGAGTTGGTGTGAGAGGCAGAAACAGCTCTGCCAAGCCCCTAGCTCACTGCCAGGAGCTCAGGGCCGGGCCTGGGTGGGGGGGAACTGGGATGTGGAGAGATGGCACGAGAGGCAGGGAAGGCTGTGGGGAACGGGCCGTGGCAGTGGGGGTCAGGTGGGCACAGGATGGGAGTCCACCCCACACCAGCCCTCACTGGGGCTCGTGTCACCCCACTGCTGGGTAGCAGGACACCCTTGGTGGCCCCTGAGTTCTTCTGATGGAATCGGGGTCATCCCTGGCCTCGTCCTTGCTGCCTGGAAGCCGCAGGGGCCCAGGGCCTCTGCGTCCAGCTCATTTTCTCATGTCTCTTGGTTTCTCTTGTAGGAATACAGCCCACGCCCTGGGGCTCCTCACTGCCCCAGGCGGTCGTGGCAGAGCTGGAAATGGCTTCCTTTCAGGAAGCGCAGATGGGCTCACACAGAGAGCTTCAGGTCAGCCTCAGGGCTCTGTGACCCCTTCCCTGCCCTGAGAATCCCCATCTGCCACAACCATGGGGATGGCAGGACCGGTGTTTCTTGTAACTGCTCTTACACTTTACCCGACAACACAGCCCAGCCCCAGAGTGCCCGTGCCAGCAGCACCCGGCACTGCCACGTGCCATCACCGAAGACGGTTCGAGGTCTGCCTCCCTCCCTCCCTTTCTCTCTCTCTTCTTTCCTTCAGTTTCTGTTTCCTGGGATACAGCCCATCAAGAACACAGGGGTAAACGATCAGCCTTGCCAACCCTGGCAGCTGAGCACCCCAAGCTGCAGCGGTCAGCCGAGAACCTGGCTGTGCCCAGGAGCAGACCTGCACCAGGGAGGCGGTGGACAGCAGAGGGGCGGCTGCGGAGGGCATGGGGCACGGCTGCCCGCACACAGTGAAAAGATACATAGACTCCAGGAAGTGTGAACAATTGCTGGAACTAAAAACTATGATTCTTGCACCAAAATCCATTTATTAGCTGAATTAAAGGAGAGACGGGGACTGGGTTCTGAAGGAGTGTTGGGAAGGAGCCGGGGGCAGGGAACCGGAAACGCAGGACAGACATGCTGCCAAGAGGGAGTCAGGAGAGGGGTGAGGCCAGGTCCAGCGGCGCCATGGGCAGAGAGCAGGGGAAAGAAACTGAGCTAACAGTGTGTTCGACTTGCAGACTGGAAGGGGTCGCGAGGTTCCAGACAGGACCCATGTAGCAAGACGTGGCCAGGGGTGGGCTGACAATATTCCAGAACTAGGAGGAAAAGCCATGATCTTATGAGCCTCTGTAAAGAAGAGCAAACTTAGGAAGGAGAAGCGCCGGGCGGGCACTGGGCTTCCCCCGGTGGTCTGGGGCTGGAAGGTGGCGGGCCGGTGCCTGCCGAGGGTGCAGAGGAAAGGGCTGTGCCTGGCTCCGCCGCCCCGGGGAGCAGCAGTGACGGCGGTGGTGATGGCTGACGGCTGACGCTTGCACAATGCCTCCTGCGCAGGCACGGCTCCCAGTGCTTCACGCGTGTGAGCGTGTTTGATTTGTTACCTCCCACCGATCTGCAGCTCACAGGCACAGAGCCTCTAAGTGACTTGTCCACAGTCGCACAGCCAGAGCTGAACCTGGGAGTCAGGCCTTGGGATCCTCTGCGCTTGCAGCCAGTCTTCCTGCCCCTTCAGACGGAGCTCATGGGTCACAAGGAAGGAGATTTGCAGATCTGCAGGGATCAGGGGAATGCATGACCCAGGGGCTCATCTGCGCAGACAGCCTCCAACCAGGACACAGCACCCCCTGTCCCCCGACGGGAGGCGAAAAGCCATGGTCTGCTTGCTCCACTCCTGAAGCTGAGGAGGGGGCTGGGGACTCTCAGGGAGAAACAAGGAGATTCGAGAAGGTCACCCTCCGACTGACTCAGCGGCCGCTGGCCACAGGAGCTGCGGGGAGCGCTCCCCCGGGGGACTAGGCCTGGCGGGAGTGGGGTGGTTCCAAAGGGAGTGTGCTTGCATGGGGCCACCAGTGGGGGTGTTTGGATTTCCTGTTATGATACAGAACCAGGAGTTCGATCCAGAGTCGGGAGATGTAAGGTGCCTCCTAGTGGGCAGGGAGAGCCCAGGGCCACTCGCATGCCACGCAGGACAGCGGTGCAAGGGCAGGCAGCACCAGCCAGGGGACCGGGCAGATGGCACGGCAGGGAGTCAAGAGCGAGCATAAAAGAACACAGAAGGAATAGAAAACAGACCACCTGAAATGGGTATGGCTGGAATCTGCTGAGAAACCAGAGACTGCCAATGTGGCTTTAAAGAAAAGGCAGTATGTGCTTTAAAGGAGCACGGCTGCAGGCAAGCAGTAAGGGATGCTTGGAAACACAGGCTGCGAGGAGATGCCAAGAAAGGCCAACAGAAATGAAGGCAGGGCGACATTCTGGGCACAGAGAAGGTGGGGCTGAGATAAAAAATATTAACTGGGAAAGAAAGACATTTTGAAGGATTAAAAGAACAGTTGATGAATAAGATAAAGTAACGAATCTGTACCATACCCTAACTGACAGCTGCTAACAATGTAAAGGCGAGCCATTCACAAGCACAAGAAGCACATAATAAATGCAGAATTCCAGCTGCAGCGTGTCATTTTCAGAATCACACCTTTCTGGGAGATGACAGACCAGTCCATCAGGCTTTAGAGAGAAGCTAGCTGCATCACTACAAAACTCAATTTCGTAAATGTCTACAAAACATGTCCTACTTCAAAGAGAGATTATACATTCCTTCCAAGACCCATTGGGCATCTATAAAAATTGATAATGTACTTAGTCTGAAAGAAAATCTTAAGAAAATTTAAAAGATCGATATTTTCTCTAGCCATATTCGAGAAAAATTGAAATAAATGCAATTAGGACCCCCATCCCCCCAAATAAAACCCTTTACTACTTGCAAAGTAAGACACTCTTAAATTATGCATTGTCTTTGGGAACAGGTTTCACTTTGCACCGACAGCAGAGTGGATAAACAGGAAGTTTATTTTTAATGTGAAAGTTGGGCTGTTGGGGGCCAGGATGCTTTCCAAGGCTCTCGGCAGCAGCCCAGGCCCGTCACCTCCCTGCCGCATCGCATGGTGTCCGTGCTGCCCATCGCTTCTGCTCACCCCCCATTGGCCAGAACACATGGTCAGGTACAGCTCAAAGAATGCTGGGGGTTGCAGTTTTTATCCTGAGTGGGAACGTGCCCAGTAAAGCCTGAGAGATCTGTTCCCATAGGAAGAGGAG